AAAAAAAAACCGATCGATAATGCAAATTCCCTTACCATTTTGAGACCAGCATGTGTTGCCTGTATAATTCTGATAAGTTCTTGTTTATTATTCATTCGATCTGAGTATAAATTGAATTGCCGCAGCTAGCAGTGCAGGGTTGAGCTCGCACGAATGTCGAATGTGGTAGGCACGTAAGAAACTGTAAAATAGTCCGTCTCCAACCATAGCAAACTAAAAATGCCTTCATCACTGCTGCTAGCACTGGGCGCCGTGTTCGTGCTAACTGCCCTTACAGATCAATGTCAAGGCAATGAAAGTCCAGGATTCTTTCTTAAGATCACCAAAAATGTGCCACGCCTAGGGCGGCGCTCGGATAGTTACTTCTTAAAAAATATGAAAGTTGTGCCGCGTATCGGACGCAGTGATGAAAAGGTAAGAATTATTAAAAATTTAGTTTATATAAATAAAGCAGAATTTTAATTTGTTTTAACTAATTTAAGCCACCTGAGGACACTGCTCTGTCGTCGCTCGTAAAGCGTATGCTCCTCAATCCAACTGCAGTAGCTGCCGCCGCGGAGCGTGAATACAGTTTGGTGCAGCCCGTCACTTCAAACACACTGATCGAATTGTTGAACAAGAATGCAATCGCCACGGATAATATTAAATTTGTACATTGGAAGGACTTCGATCGGGCGCTACAAATGGACCCCGAGTTGTATGGCAAACTGATTTCGTTGGGTCGCAAGCCCGATCAGCGACTGAAGGAGGATCTAAGTGCTGATGTTAGCAGTGGTTTTATGCCCTTAACAGCCTATTCAAATAACAACGAGTTAAGGTTTTACAACAGGGATGTCGACGAGATGTATGCACCCAAGTATGGGGCCGATTTTTTGCATTACAATGAGCTTATGTAGGCTTTCATATATCGGTATTAAATATGTATTTTAGTAGAGACAGGATTGAGTATTCTTTTTTTTTTATTTTGTTAAGTGCAATGATAATAAAATCGATACGAATAACGGACTTTATACAAGTGCTTACTGATCAAATTGTAAGGAAAACATTTAATATTTCGCGAAAAGAGTTTATTATAACCCCCCATCACTAAAAACTTTTCTGATAATTTTTCTAAGTTCGGGACTTGTATTGCACCCAACTTGCATGTAACGTAAATAAGTTAGTCCTGCAGGACACTTTTTCACTGAAGAATTAGCTGAACAAAATTGATATGTGGGTGGCTAATGCCTCCTTCGGCTGGTTAAAAAGTGCGATCACAGTCCAGAAAACGCTGGGCAGTTTAGAAGGAAGCGTAGAAACGATTCACTCGATGACGATGTGCAGTAGAGTGGTCCAATTTTTGTATGGGTGACGACAAAAATATCATCTTAGAAAACGGTGCACCCCTTAGTTGTTTGATACATATTTGTAATATTTATACCAACTTTCAATTTTCTACTGTAACCAATACAGGGTGCGCAATGAACTTGAAATGCGCTACGGCATCGCCGCGAAACTGGCAAAAATATTAGTGATTTTTATAAAAAGCTACTGTTCCCATGACAACTGAAGCTTGTGATATTTTTTTAGATAATTTATATCTATATATACCTATGTACATAACGTCGTTTAAAGTACAAAACCGCGTATCATCGAAATACAAAACCGCGTACGCGAGATTGCCTAAATTATTTTCTAGAGAGTAAAACACTCATATTTCAAAATGGTTCTCATTTTTATAAAGCAATCGCATTTCTGGCTAGTATATTTCAGGACGAATGGATAATGATTGAGCCAAGAGCTTCTGTGAGCAAATCCAATTTTTGGCAGCAAATGTCAGTTACGCGGTTTTGTACTTTAAACGACGATATGTATGTATTATATTATATTATAATATCCTAGTAAATTTTTTAAAATGATTCTTGGTCCGCTAGTTTTCACTGTGTCATCACTGCAAACGTTAATTGGTCAAATTTTGCATGTTCAAGGTCAACCCAGACCTTAAGATTATTAAGTGCTTGTGGCACTTAATATTAATATTATTATTAATATTATTATATGTGAAAACAATATTTTTTTCATGCAACTTGACTGACAAATCCCTTTGGCTCACATCACATAGTATTTCCAGTGAGACGAACACGAACAATTTATAATAGGGTCGTCCAAAAAAAGTAAAGTCAGAATTTTAACGCTCTCACCCCCTAGGATTGTTCTATATCGAAAAAAATATACTCCTATTTTTTATTTTGAAATAAAAAAAAAATTTAGAGGTCGTTCAAGCACTTAAAGTTTTCCATGTATTTTGTATGGAAAAAAAACAACTTTTCGTAGAATTGGTATAGAAATCTTGAAAATCAATATTTTTTCATCGGGAAACTCAGCTTCTCTTCGAGATAATTTCAGTAGTAAAACGCATTTTTTATTTAATCATTTTTCAATGCTAACAATTCTTTGTTGATCCCCTCATTGCATTTTTCGGGGTTATTGAGGTTTTTGGCGGACCTCTAAATTATAGTTACTATGAAAAAATAGTTAAATTAACAATTAGGTATTATTTTTGGGAATATCCTGCAAAAAAATAGAAATTTACGATCGAAAAATATTGATTTTTAAGAATTGAATTTCATTTCTACGAAAAGTTCTTTTTTCCCATATAAAATTCATGGAAAACTTTTAGCGCTTTCAGCGACCTATACATTTTTTTGATTTCAAAATAAAAAATAGGGGTAAATTTTTTTCGATATAGAACAATCCTAGGGGATGAGAGCATTAAAATTCCGACTTTACTGTTTCACATGCAGTTTGGACCACCCTGGTGTAAAATCGCTCACGCTAGCAGTGACAGGGGTGTTGGCTTCGGAAATATGCAAGAACAATCATAGTAGTAGTTAGCCAATACTTCAAAGCCAATCAGACAAAGGCAAATATAAAACACCTGATCTCACAAAGCGCTTATATGTACATAGTTAGAAAGAAAAAATAAAATAAATAACAAAAGACTTAAGAAACAAACGCGCCGGGAATAACACTGTGCACATAGAAATGCATTGCACTGCATTAGACTTAGCCATTTACCTGATGACAAATCAACGCGAGTAACAAATCAGCTAACAATATAAGTGTAATATAACTTTTCATCCAGATTAAATTGCGCATAATTATGGCGCTAATTAATTAGTGTATAAATTAAAATTAATTATAATATTTATGTAGCATTGTTTTGAAGTAAAAGCCAGAAAAACTGCAGTTACATACATACACACATATGTATTGTACAAACATGAATACGTTGTTACAAATGCTTGCAATATTTTGGCGAGTCACGGCTGTGGCAATGGCTTTGTTGCCACTTAGGAGAGGGCTATTCACTACTACAGCAGTCTTATGCTAATACACAATGACATTGCATATTTTAATTGCAAACATTTGCTGCACATTTAGCCGCTTGCATTTGTTAGTTAGTTAGCAATCCGGCAGTAGTGCGACCGCCTCTGGCGCAAGCGGCATATATGTGTACATAAATACATATTTATACTTATATGCATTTATGAATGTTCGTAGGAAATGGCAATGCCAGTTAGAAGCAATGTTCACAGCATTCCAGCATGTAATTAACAAGTCTTCCATGCTTGCACCGCCAATGGCCAGCTAGCTAGCTATGCGGCTGCTGGTGGTTAGAAGTGTTAGAAGTGGGAGACGGCAAAACGCAGTGACTGCCTCCATAAGCTGTGCAGTGCAGCACTTGTGAGCGGTGCTGTCAAAACGCGCTGGCGTGCGGTGTCATGTTAATTCCATTTTTATCACATCGTGAGTCGTTCATTTATCATTTCACTGCAGATCTACAATGAAGCGCAATTTTTCTCACTCTCCACACCTTTTGTAGTGTTTTTTTTTTGTTTTATAAACATATGTACTATTTATGTGCGAGTAAGTGTATATGTGCAGTACTTATTTCCATTTAGTGCTTGTCACATTATTTGTCCCATTACTTGTTGTTGAGTAGTTTATTTATTGAATTGAGTAGCTCAACTAGCCATGGCTCTTGGTCGGTGATTTATGACTCGAATGCGTGCCATTCCATTCTCAGGAATAATTAGCACAGCTTTGCTGCAATTGAGGCGGAGTTATTGCTTTTGTTTGATTGCCTTTCGCAACTACTGGCATTTTGTAACTTTGTGTAATGCCAAGAGTTTGCAATGATACTTCCGAAACTTATTTACCAATTTATATAATATAAATAGGATGCTGGTAGAACTGAACTGCTCTTGCCGCATTATTGGTGAACTTATGAAGAGATTTCAAGGAGTTGTAAGGCTCAGTGAGTTTTAGGGACCACTGCATCATAAAGAGCTTATACTCTTTTTCAAGTACTCTTAATTAATATGGGAATTTATGTGAGCTGATATAAGAAACACATTCTGTTTGATTGCTGATGCCTTTTGAAGAACGACTGTACACCCAATTAAAATATGTTTGAGTGATATTATTGCAATTAGGGATCAGCAATTTCTCCCTATGTTGCCGCTTATGAACAACTTCACGTGCTAATGAATTGCAAATCATACTTGTTGACGCTGAAATCCAAAAACATTTCATTAAGCCTTCGAATTCCCATCACGCACATACATATGTATGTATTAATGTTTTTGTAAATACATACATACATACATGATACTGGAACAACAATTTAATAATGAGAAGCTACCAAAATTCATGTACATACATATCTACGAGTATCTATGCTTGTATAATACACAAGTACTACAAATGGCACGCGATATTAGTGCCTGCTAATCAGTGAAATATGTACTAATTTAGTGCCTCTGTTGTCCAACTTTTGCCTTTGTTGTTTTGCTGAGTCATAAATACATAATTTATCATAGTCAAATACACTTTGTCGATTTAAGAATTTTTTCGTAGGCTTGTAAAATGTGAGAAGCGTGCCAGTCTAAGCAAAAATGTCATGCTGAGCACCTCATTTTGTTTCAGGGTGTATGTATAAATATATGAGAGGTCGTCTATTGTAAATATTTTTATACAAAAGCATTACAATTCTCAAGTGTTTCACTGTTGGAAATCTAATCCTTCTACTGCTAGAAGGGGTGTTAACATTCAAGCTGTGTATTGACATGGAAGATCAAGGTTCGGGGAAGTTAACGAAAATGAGATATTTACAATGATTGTCAGAAGGACGCATACATCCCTACATATATGTATGTATCTGAATACATCGCTTCTGATATTAAAGAGTCTGTAGCTTTGTTAACTTGTACAAAACTGCAGAATTATTTATTGAATTTTTTTTTAACTATTTGATTAATGCCATTGTTAGGGTGATTGACTCGGTTCTTCTAATCCGGATTCAACCGATTTTTAATTTTTATAGGCGGGTTTTTGGAATATATACATATTTTTCGAATACCGGAAGTTTACAGACGAATAAACCGGGTTTTCACTAAGTTTATTTGTACATATACCAGTATCTAAAAACTCAAAATTTTTATTTGATTGCAAATGGAACATGAGAGCTTTCATTAACTTTACATATATATGAATACTAGAAAACTTTAGACTGTAGAAAATTACTTTAAAAATAAAAGGAGCATCCTTCATGTCCTTTTTTTTGTTGTGTCAGCTTACTAAACTGTGGCTAAATCAGTGAATCAACTAAATGTTGTCTTCATTCTCATCTCAGAAAAAGGGTATATCCGACGCGTTTGGGCCGTAGGAAGAAGGATATAAGATGAGCTGATGTGAGCGGGCATGTGAAGAAGTGGTTAGTGTCGTCGGTCCGTCTTATTCAAATTGGACTGAACAGTTTAACCTGTTGTGTCAAAGAATCGCGAGATGCATAAAGAATCTCGAGCTCTTCGTCTGTAATAGCTGGCGTTGGTGTCCAGAGTTGATTGATTCT